ATGCCTCATGCCTCATGCCTCATGCCTCATGCCTCATGCCTCATGCCTCATGCCTCATGCCTCATGCCTCATGCCTCATGCCTCATGCCTCATGCCTCATGCCTCATGCCTCATGCTCATGCCTCATGCCTCATGCCTCATGCCTCATGCCTCATGCCTCATGCCTCATGCCTCATGCCTCATGCCTCATGCCTCATGCCTCATGCCTCATGCCTCATGCCTCATGCCTCATGCCTCATGCCTCATGCCTCATGCCTCATGCCTCATGCCTCATGCCTCATGCCTCATGCCTCATGCCTCATGCCTCATGCCTCATGCCTCATGCCTCATGCCTCATGCCTCATGCCTCATGCCTCATGCCTCATGCCTCATGCCTCATGCCTCATGCCTCATGCCTCATGCCTCATGCCTCATGCCTCATGCCTCATGCCTCATGCCTCATGCCTCATGCCTCATGCCTCATGCCTCATGCCTCATGCCTCATGCCTCATGCCTCATGCCTCATGCCTCCCCCCCAATGTCAATCCCCACATGATGCCTCCCCCCCCAATGTCAATCCCCACATGATGCCTCCCCCCCAATGTCGATTCCCCCCCACATGATGCCTCCCCCCAATGTCAATCCCCACATGATGCCTCCCTCCCTCCCTTTTCTCACCCTCTCTTTCACCCAGTCTCGATCACGCCAAGCAGTCTATTTTTAGGCGCCTCAAAAGATGACGCCATGGCTCTAAAGTAGGAAGGACCGTGCACTTCTCCCTCTTCGCACTTCCTTCTTCCAGCCCCCCTTCCCAATCCCCCAACGTTCCTGACGGTGCCATGGCCCTGCACATCACCCGCGCGCGCCCTGCACTCCCTTGGTATAACCCGCGCACTGCATTCCTACGCACAAGCAGGCAGATCAGTAGTAGCAGCGACGATGAAGCAGCCATCCGCCAAGATGTTCTTTCTCTTCCCTCTTCCCTCTTCCCTCTTCCTCCTTCCCTCTTCCCTCTTCCCTCGTCTTCTTCCATTCCTCCTTCCCGATCTCCTGCCAGTCTCAAAGGAGCTATGGCCCTGTGCTTTACCCAAGCCCTGCACTCCTATGCCCTGGTGGGCCGGTCACTGGTAGCAACGATGAAGCAGCCGTCCACCAAGATGTTCTCCCTCTTCACGCACCTGGCATGCCACCCCCTTCCCTCTCTCAGGTTGGATGGTGCAATGGCCCTGCACGTCAGTCGAGGCCTGCGCGTCAGTTGAGCCCTGCGTGTCAGTCGAGCCCTGCGCGGCAATCGAGCCTGCACTCGTACGCCCTTGCAGGCAGATCCAGTGGAGGCCACGATGAACCACCCGTAGGCCAAGATGCTCTCCCTCTTCACGCATCTGCTGCTCATCACCCACAGCAACCCCGTGTTTTGCTTTCTTTTTCACCCCCTCCCCCCACCATGTCCCAGCCTGGATGGCGCTATGGCCCTGCGGGTGATTCGCCAGAACCCATCCGGACCCGGATGAACCCTGCGGGTGAATCGCAGGGCCATTTCCCAGCCTGGATGGCGCTATGGCCCTGCGAATCACCCGCTCACTCCACTCCTACGCGCCAGCAGCAGCAGATGTGTTTTGAGTCGACTCAAATCGCGCTAACAGGCAGATCAGTGGTAGCAACAATGAAGCAGCCCTCGGCCAAGATGTTGCCCCCCTTCACGCACGTGCTGCTGCTCATCACCCACGGCAATCCAACCTTCTTCCCTCATCCTTCCCCCCTCTCCCCACTTCCCCCCCGCTCCTGGTCCCAGTCTGGATGGAGCTATGGCCCTGCGAATCACCAGGGCGCTGCACTCCTATGCGCTAGCAGGCAGATCAGTGGTGACCATGCTGAACCAGCCGTCCGCCAAGATGTTCTCCCTCTTCACTCACCTGCTGCTCATCCGCTCTTCCTCTGTGCAGTCTCGATGGAGCTATGGCCCTCCGCATTACACGAGCCCTGCACTCATACGCCTTAGCCGGCCGATCCGTAGTAGCCACCATGAAGCAGCCATCCGCCAAGATGTTCTCCCTCTTCACGCATCTGCTGCTCATCACCGACGGTAACCCCATCTTCTTTGGCGCAGCGGGCGCTGCTCTACCCTACTTTGACTCCATCGGCTACACCATGGGAGCTGATACAAGCGCTGCCGAATTCTTTCTGGTGAGCCCCTCCCTCCCACCCCCTGCTCCAGTTCCCCATAAGTCTTTCTGAACGCCCCCGAGCCCCCCCCCTCTCTCCCTCTCCACACACCTTCCTCTTCACGCATCTGCTGCTCATCACCGACGGCAATCCCATCTTCTTCGGCGCTGCGGGTGCCGCGCTACCCTACTTTGACTCCATCGGCTACACCATGGGGGGGCCGACACCAGTGCTGCAGAGTTCTTCCTTGTGAGTGCCTGCTCCTTTCTTACCGTCGTTCTGGTTGCTCCCCAGCCCCACTGTTGGCCTCCTCTGCCCACGCCGCTCTGCCAGGTGATTTTTTAGCCGACTCAAAAATCGTCTTTCTGGTTGCTCCCTAGCCCCACTGTGGGGGGTTCCTCTGCCCACGCCGCGCTGCCCTACTTTGACTCCATCAGCTACACCATGGGGGCAAGCGCTGCTGAGTTCTTCCTGGTGAGTGCTCCACTCCACTCCTCGCTGCCCCCTGCTCCGTACACCATATGCCTCTCCCTGCCATAACCCTATGGCCCTCGCTGTCTTCCACTCCTCCCTACTCCCTAACCGAACCGTGCGCCTGCCCGCTCTGCTCTGCTGTACTTTGACTCCATCGGCCATACCATGGGGGCCAATACCAGTGCTGCTGAGCTGAGCTCTTCCGCCAGAGTCCTCCTCTGCCCCTGAAGCAGCGGACGCGACCATCCTTTTCGGCTCCTCCACCAACCTCATCCGCCTCTGGGCCACCGGGGACGCTGCCAGGGAGATAGAGGGCAATATTCCTGATCCCTCGTCTCGCTCCCTCTCTCTGTTCCACTTTGCACCAAGCAGGACCTCACAGCTCCCAAGGCAGCGGACGCGTCCACCCATTTCAGCACGTCCATCCATTTCAGCGCGTCCACCCATTTCAGCGCGTCCACCAGCCTCATCCGCCTCTGTTTTTGAGAATTCTCAAAAACAAAACACGTCCACCAACCTCATCCGCCTCTGGGGCACGGGGGATGCTGCCAGGGAGATAGAGCACTGCTCTTACATCCCCCATTTCCTAATCCCCATTCCCAACCCTCTCCCCTTCACCAACAGGATCTGACAGCCCCCGAAGCAGCAGATGCGTCCATTCACTTTGGCACGTCCACCAACCTCATCCGTTTGTGGGCCACCGGCGATGCTGACCTTACATTCCCCTCCCCATTCCCAACCCTCTCCCCTTCACCAACAGGATCTGACAGCCCCCGAAGCAGCAGATGCGTCCATTCACTTTGGCACGTCCACCAACCTCATCCGTTTGTGGGCCACCGGCGATGCTGACCTTACATTCCCCTCCCCATTCCCAACCCTCTCCCCTTCACCAACAGGATCTGACAGCCCCCGAAGCAGCAGATGCGTCCATTCACTTTGGCACGTCCACCAACCTCATCCGTTTGTGGGCCACCGGCGATGCTGACCTTACATTCCCCTCCCCATTCCCAACCCTCTCCCCTTCACCAACAGGATCTGACAGCCCCGGAAGCAGCAGATGCGTCCATTCACTTTGGCACGTCCACCAACCTCATCCGTTTGTGGGCCACCGGCGATGCTGACCTTACATTCCCCTCCCCATTCCCAACCCTCTCCCCTTCACCAACAGGATCTGACAGCCCCCGAAGCAGCAGATGCATCCATTCACTTTGGCACGTCCACCAACCTCATCCGTTTGTGGGCCACCGGCGATGCTGACCTTACATTCCCCTCCCCATTCCCAACCCTCTCCCCTTCACCAACAGGATCTGACAGCCCCCGAAGCAGCAGATGCGTCCATTCACTTCGGCACGTCCACCAACCTCATCCGCCTCTGGGCCACCGGGGACGCTGCCAGGGAGATAGAGCGGGCTGCCATGCCCTCGACAGCTGCCACAGTGTCCCAGGCGTCTGCTAAAAGCGGGGAGGGGGGTGAGGGTCAGGGGAATGGGGATGTGGAGGTGGGGGAGGGAGTGGGGGAGGGTACTAGAGTGAGGGATGTCGATGCGAGTATGGACTGGAGGGGAGTGAGTGGGGGGGGGGAGGGGGAATCGGAGGTGGCGGACGAGGAGGAGGAGGGAGTGGGAAGAGGTGGGTAACGTCGTGGGGTTTGCAGTTTCGGGTGCTGGCGCAGCGGCACCTGCTGTCGTACCGGGTGGTGAATCAGGACTGGATATTTGTGGCTGTTGTGGCGGTCAGCCTGCTCGTTTGCACCTTATTGCCAGGTGAGGCATGCTGGCAGGTGAGACTGGTAGAGACCCTATGGCACGTGCGGTCGTACCGGGTGGTGAATCAGGACTGGATATTTGTGGCCGTCGTGGCGGTCAGCCTGCTCGTTTGCACCTTATTGCCAGGTGAGGCATGCTGGCAGGTGAGACTGGAAGAGACCCTAGGGCACCTGCTGTCGTACCGGGTGGTGAATCAGGACTGGATATTTGTGGCCGTCGTGGCGGTCAGCCTGCTCGTTTGCACCTTATTGCCAGGTGAGGCATGCTGGCAGGTGAGACTGGAAGAGACCCTAGGGCACCTGCTGTCGTACCGGGTGGTGAATCAGGACTGGATATTTGTGGCCGTCGTGGCGGTCAGCCTGCTCGTTTGCACCTTATTGCCAGGTGAGGCATGCTGGCAGGTGAGACTGGTAGAGACCCTAGGGCACCTGCTGTCGTACCGGGTGGTGAATCAGGACTGGATATTTGTGGCCGTCGTGGCGGTCAGCCTGCTCGTTTGCACCTTATTGCCAGGTGAGGCATGCTGGCAGGTGAGACTGGTAGAGACCCTAGGGCACGTGCGGTCGTACCGGGTGGTGAATCAGGACTGGATATTTGTGGCCGTCGTGGCGGTCAGCCTGCTCGTTTGCACCTTATTGCCAGGTGAGGCATGCTGGCAGGTGAGACTGGTAGAGACCCTAGGGCACCTGCTGTCGTACCGGGTGGTGAATCAGGACTGGATATTTGTGGCCGTCGTGGCGGTCAGCCTGCTCGTTTGCACCTTATTGCCAGGTGAGGCATGCTGGCAGGTGAGACTGGAAGAGACCCTAGGGCACCTGCTGTCGTACCGGGTGGTGAATCAGGACTGGATATTTGTGGCCGTCGTGGCGGTCAGCCTGCTCGTTTGCACCTTATTGCCAGGTGAGGCATGCTGGCAGGTGAGACTGGTAGAGACCCTAGGGCACGTGCGGTCGTACCGGGTGGTGAATCAGGACTGGATATTTGTGGCCGTCGTGGCGGTCAGCCTGCTCGTTTGCACCTTATTGCCAGGTGAGGCATGCTGGCAGGTGAGACTGGTAGAGACCCTAGGGCACGTGCGGTCGTACCGGGTGGTGAATCAGGACTGGATATTTGTGGCCGTCGTGGCGGTCAGCCTGCTCGTTTGCACCTTATTGCCAGGTGAGGCATGCTGGCAGGTGAGACTGGTAGAGACCCTAGGGCACGTGCTGTCGTACCGGGTGGTGAATCAGGACTGGATATTTGTGGCCGTCGTGGCGGTCAGCCTGCTCGTTTGCACCTTATTGCCAGGTGAGGCATGCTGGCAGGTGAGACTGGTAGAGACCCTAGGGCACCTGCTGTCGTACCGGGTGGTGAATCAGGACTGGATATTTGTGGCCGTCGTGGCGGTCAGCCTGCTCGTTTGCACCTTATTGCCAGGTGAGGCATGCTGGCAGGTGAGACTGGTAGAGACCCTAGGGCACCTGCTGTCGTACCGGGTGGTGAATCAGGACTGGATATTTGTGGCCGTCGTGGCGGTCAGCCTTTTCGTCTGCACCTTGCTGCCTGGTGAGGCATGCTGGCAGGTGAGAGTGGTTGACGCACTAAGGCGCAGCTGCAGCTGCGGTCGTACCGAGAGGTGAATCAAGCAGACTAGATGTTCAAGGATCATCCTCATCCTCCCCATCCCCCTCATCCCCCCATCCCCCTCATCCCCCCATCCCCCCCATCCTCCCCATCCCCCTCATCCCCCCATCCCCCCCATCCCCCCCATCCCCCTCATCCCCCCCATCCCCCTCATCCCCCCCATCCCCTCATCCCCCCCATCCCCCCCATCCCCCCCATCCCCCTCATCCCCCCATCCCCCCCATCCCCCTATCCCCCCCATCCCCCCGATCCCCCTCGTCCCCCCCATCCCCCTCATCCCCCTCATCCCAGGCTGCCTGTGGTGCAAGCACGATCCAACCACAGCCATGTGCATTCGCGGCATGGCGGGGCTCATCTTCTTCTCACACTTCTTCTGGGGGATCATCCCCATGCTCACCTCCCTCTCTCATTCCCACCCTTCCAAGTTCCATCCGCCCTCCAACCGCTTGCCCCATGTCATCCCAGGTTGCCTCTGGTACAAGCGCGATCCAACCACAGCCGAGGGCATTCGCGATATGGCGGGGCTCATCTTCTTCTCACAGTTCTTCTGGGGGCTCATCCCCATGCTCACCTCCGTCATCACCTTCCTGGAGGACCGCAAGTCAGTCCAAAAAGAGCAAGAGGACGGAGTGTATCATATCTCCGCGTACTACGCCGCCCGGACGCTGCTCAGCCTGCCGTACGAGATCCTGCCGCCCGTCTTCTACAGCTGCATCGTCTATTGGATGACCGGGCTCAACCCGTCGGGCGGCCGGTTCGTCTTATTCACTTTAGTGCTTGTACTCGATACAATGGTGGCATCATCTATAGGCATGGCGGTGGGGACTGCGACGTCTACAGTGAAACAGGCGATTTCGATTGCGGCTATTCTGCAGCTGCTGTCGGTTATGGTGGTGCATTTCTTATCTCTCAATCCCCCGGCGTGGGTGGGGTGGACGCAGTACCTCTCTTTCTCAACCTATGTTAACAAGGTGGGTCGTCTCCCTTGTACCTCCTGCGTGCACACTTCCCCTGCGTGCACACTTGCTCATGCACGCTATCAACCACTCCCCCCTCACGTGTGGGTGGGATGGACGCACTACCTCTCTTTCTCTCGGCTTGCATCAACAAGGTGGGTCTTCCTCCTGCACTCCATCACACACACTCTCCTCACTTTGAGGGTGGGACCAAGGACCACTTCACTACCACTCCTTCTCGACTTGCGTTGACAAGGTTTGCCTCCTCCCTCCTTTCTGTTCAGTGCTCACCTTGTAGGCATTCATATTTGCGACCTTCCCCCCTCCTATATGCGACCTTGCCTCATATGTTGTTCCACACTAGCATAGCATACATCGCCTTTCTCCTTCACCCCTCTCCTTCTCTTCACACCTACCCTTCTCCGGCCTGCCTACACCACCCCTGCACTCAACCACACTCACGCCCAACACCCTTCCCCCCTTCCCCCTCCCCCCCAATATCGAACACTCTCCTTTCCTCAGTTGCTAATGCGGATCAACTTTGATTCTGCCGAATCGTTCACTGGCAACTGTAGCGCTTCCAACACGAGCAGCAGCACCGCAGCCAACACGTGCTCGTGTGCCGCTACTCTTGAGCTATCGGGCCTGAGGAATCCGTTACCGGGGAGTGGGTGGCTGGAAGCGTGCATCCTCGTTGCCATGCTCATCTTCTTCCGCTTGCTTGCTCTGCTTATAGTGAAGCTCCGGTTGCAGTCGTGGCGGTGGCATCGCAATGGCCGCACTTGAGGATAGGAGGATATGTAGTTGCATGTCTATGGTATAAAGGCTATGCAACCAATCTATACAATCCACCGGTGTTCCTCTAAACAGCCAAGGCTTTGGGGCTTATTATAAAATGCAGCTATTATTGTGTTTGTGTAAGCACCTCATGAAATCTCGTTTTTAGCGTGAAGTAGCAAGCAATCGTTATATATAAACTTCATCAACGTTCATTGTCATACTCACCCTTACTGTAACGCGCTCTGGACAGTGCTGAAGTTTTGCAGTTTTCCCCACTTCCAATTCTCACCTACACCAGATGCCAGTCAAGAACAGACTTTGGTGCGCGTTTTCGGGCAGAAGGACCCACCTGCCGTGCCAAGGCAAATTGACCACTGGGCAGGATAATTGTCCAGCATAGTGCACATTTGATCTCCACAGTGCCAATTGCCACGTAATGTCGGTGGAACTGTACCTTCGCTGTTCTTCTGTCGGCGTTGCACTTGCTGCTTGTTTCAGAAGCTCATTTGACTGCAAACCGTCAGCATTCTCGCTCGCGAAGTCATAGTACCGGTCGCCGCTATTCCGCACGGTCAAAATTTCAAATCGCGACTGGCATCTCAGACGACGGACGTCGAATTTCCGTACCTTGTCGCTAGAAGCGTTACATATCTGCAGTGCCGTTAGTTTTCTCCTCAGGCAGTGCTGTTTGGCGTTTAGCCGTCTGCTTCCAGTCCACGCCAGCCTGGTAAGTCCTGCAACTGTTCACGTGGGACTGCGGCACTTGCGTGGTCGGTGCCCACCCGGACACTCCTTCCGCGCCCCCCACCAAAACCCAGCCCTGGGCAGCACGACTCCGCGTCGCAGGCTCTGGAGGGAACCGCGTTTTTTTCGTCTCCGTGTCGACGTGGCTCGATCTGTGCGGGTCATCTCTCCGCGTCGAATCTCGGCAATTCGTGTCATCTGGAAAAACCGAGTGAGGGAGGGAGTTAGACTCGGCTGCCCTCGCCAAATTCCCCTCACTCGCACCCAATCCCACTCCACCCTACCTCAACGCTCTCAACCTCCTCGATCGAAGCCGACGCAGCACCGAACTTCCACCGCTCCATTTATCTCCCGCTTTCTCGTCATTCTGTTTATCCAGATATAGCAATCAAGCGTCCATCCAAGACCGTCTTTCGACCAGACTAGTTTCTCCATCAACCAAGGATCGGCAGGGAGCGAGAGCAGCAAGCAGCAGCAACTTAAGTACTTTCAAAACGAGAGCACGGAACACATCAACTTGACTCGGACGACTCGAAATATGGCCACCATGGATTCCGTTCTTCTATCTTCAAACCCTCTCAAGCGCAAGGTCTCTAACGAGTCTTGCGTCGTCCCCTCACAAGCTGCTGCTCTCCCTCCCTGCCTTTCCTCTGACTCCACTTTCCTCTCCGGAGTCTTCTCCTCTTCCCCCTCCTCCTCCCCCGCCCTCTCCGCCGCCGTTGCCGCGTCTTCTCAAAACGAGCACCCGAACCAGCCCTCCGCCAAGCGCTACCGGGGCGTGCGGCAGCGCTCGTGGGGCAAGTGGGTGTGCGAGATCCGCGAGCCGCGCACGCGCGCGCGCGTGTGGCTGGGGTCCTACAGCTCTGCGGAGGAGGCCGCGCGAGTCTACGACACCGCCGCGCTCATGCTGCACGGCGCGCACGGCGCGGAGCGCCGCCTCAACTTCCCGCACACGGCGGCGACCGCCGTCGGCGGCGGCATCCACATGCGCCCCGTCGTGGTCTCCCGCGCGACCGCGGAGTCTCTGCTGCGCGCAGCGCGCAACCTCGCGGCGGCGGCGAACGGCGCATCTACCGCGGAGCTCGCGGGCGCGGACGCGGAAGTGAAGACGTTCAGCAGCGAGTGGGTGCAGCTGGAGATCGCGGGCGCTAACGTGCTCTTCGCCGAATGCCCCGCGCCCGGGCTCCTTCCCCTCGCTCCCTCCGTCGCGCCAGCTGTCCCCACCCCCGCTCCCGCTCCCGCTCCCGTTCCCGCTCCCGTTTCCGCTCCTGCTCGCGCACCTGCGGCGCCGATCGCGCCTGTCTCCTCTCCCTCTCCCCTCTCCTCTGTCCCCACTCTCTCCGCTGGCGACGACCTCCTCGTCGCATCATGCGACAACGTCGCCAGTGACAACGGCGGCGACAGCTGTGCAATTCTGGAGCTCCCAGAGCTCGACTGGCCGGAGATGGAGAAGTGCCCGTCGGCCGACGATTCGGCTCTCTTCGACGAGATCGAGAA